GGTTACGGTATTGAAAAAATCTGGAAATTTCAACTGGCATCATTCTTCCATTAAACAGTATGTTAAGATTAAAATACACTAGAGAAGAAGTACCCACAAGCATAACTTTTTTTCAAACTTTTAGACTACGATATTCTGCTTAAGATTCATAGTAAATAGTAAAAGATTTGATAGTGAAATGGCTTGTATTTGAATAATTAATACTTTATTTTAGGAAAAAAATGTGTTCCTATCAGGTAAAAATATCCAACAGGAAACGTAAGACAGCAACGGGTAATAAGTTAAAGATGTTGTAGATTAAAGGTGGAGGTCCATATAATTGCCAAAGACACTTGTGAGCTTGATGATTGGGAGAATTTTAGAATTCAGTGAATGAAGACCAAGAAATTGATAAAGAAAGACAAAATAGAATATGATGATATAATAAAATAAAATATGAAGATACGAAAGAAACATAAAATGGATTGTAAAAGCTTTTGTCTAGGTTTGTAAAAAAAGGAAAAGAAAAGCAAAGACAAATTGGGGACCATTTCAGGCAGAAGTGGAAAAATTTACTAAAGGTAATGGAAGAATGGCAGAGAAGCTAAGTATGTCCTGTGTGCCTCATTTCACAGAGGAAGAAACAAGTCTGCCTGAAATAATGAAGATCTCAGAGTCTATATGAGTGTGTGGAACTGAAAGAAATTAGTGTCAGCAAAAACATAATATTGGTGAAATTAATGAGACTGAAAATTGTCAAATCCCCAGAACCTGATGACCTTCTCCCCCATGTTGAAAGAAATGCCATGAGGCTGCGGATGCATTTCAAGATCCTACTCTGCAATGTTGATGTCAGACTAGAAGTTTGTAAATTTAAGTCCACTGTTTAAAAGAGGGAGGGAGAAAATGCAGAACTGCACACTGATCAGCAACAGGGAAAATACAAAAACCTATTATAAATCATGTTATTACTTGATATTTAGAAAATAAGTAACTGGTGGGCAGAACCAACATGGATTTATGAATGGAAGTGTTGTTTGACATATCTGATAAAGCTTTTTTGAGGATATTACTCACAGAGTTGATAAGGGGAAAACAGTAGATGTAGTGTTTTTGGATCTGTGGATTGTGTTTGATTAAGTCCCATGCAAGAATTTAGTAAAAAAAATTAATGACTGAATTGAGCTAAACCAAACATGGCCTGGGGGTTTGGTCAGAAAGCAGGGAGTAGAAATAAATAAGTCAATTTAAGGTTGGCAGTCTGACCAGTGGGGTAGTTCAAGGATCTGAGCTTGAGGCCTAGCTTTTTGCAATTTATATCAATGGTTCCAACGTGGTAGACCAAATATAATATTTCCAAGTTTGAAGATGATACAAACTTGTTGGAAATGTGAGTTGTGCGGAGAATGCAAAGAGATTTCAGGGGGACTTAGGCTCAGAGAGCAGGCAAGTGCATGACACATGGAATATAATGTGGATAAGTATGAGGTTATCCAGTTTGGTAGAAGGAACAAAACTGCAGAGTATCTCTTGAATTGTGAAATGTGGGAAAATATTGATCCCTATATTCCTAAATTATGGAGCTAACAATTTATACATTTTTGCAATTTTTTTCATTAAAAATGGAAAAATACATTATATAACAGTTGAAATTTTGTAATACATAAATTGCAATACAGTCATTTCCTTGAATAAAATATGTAGCGTTCTGGGGGGCCCTCTATACTTACAATTGGTAGGCTACATTTACAGCTTACATTTTCTGTTAAATGTTCTCTGGTTCACAAGGCCCAATGGACTTTACATGGATTCCAGACAACAGGGCAGAAGACCTTCCTCCATTGAGCCTTTGGGGCAGCTGCCCAAGACTTTAGTTACATCCCTCAGTATATAATTATTGATTTTGTAATGAGCCAGTCTTCAACACCAAGCCATGGCCAGCTCTTTGCACCGGAAAGCCAACAAGTTTTGGGCTGGCCAAGCAGCATTTTGCACTGAAGTGATGATCCTTCAGCAGCAGTTGACATTTGTCTCAGCGTGCAATCCTGGGAACAACCTAGGGAGCAAGGAGTCCACTGGTACACAGCTGGTCGGGATAAAGCTCTGCAAAAAAAAATACTGCATCTCTTTCCAGTCCTCCTTACCATAGGTATATTCCAGAAGATGGGTCATGTCTGTTCTAAACTGTACTTCCCTCAAGGGCAGCGTGCAGTACTGCTGAGACTCTGAGGGTGCAGGAAGGATCTGACATGACAAGCCAAGCTCTATCTTAGTGCTGAATTGAAAGTTCAAATGATGAGGCATTATATCAAATGATTTTCCCAGTTGACTCAGGAAGGCATTCTACAGGATCCAGCACCCTCTGTTCTCACAGGGATTTAAGGATGTCACATGTGAAATGCTGTCTTTTGGAGTGGACTGCAAAAGATATCTTGTCTGCACAAACCTTTTCATGAGGGCTGGTCGACATGGCATTATCCAACTACATTTAATAGTCAATGGCACTTTTATGTAATAGCCATGTCTAGCCTATAGGCTATTTCATTTAAAAAGTCTCTCCTTTCTTTGATAGTTCCTCAGGATTGAGGATAACTTGCTTCCAATCCATTTTAATAGTTTCTGGGGTGACCAGAAGTGTTAAGTCCAATGCATGATCTGCAAACTCTGCCATATGCAGGTCATATACTGCTTGAAGGATTTGGTGGATGATTTGTTTGGAGGTTTGTGCACAGTCACCAATGCCTTCCTGTCCGCTCTGTGTGTTTCCAATGAAGACTCTCAATGTGTTCATCTCTTTTCTTAATGACTGAATCATCTTCACAGTCTTGGTCACAAACTGGGAACTTTGGGAATACTTTGAGAACATCTCTGCTGTGACTGAGTTCAGAGCAAAGTAATTGCTTCAGGAGCTCGGTGTAAGATTTATAAACTATGTCTCACTCAATGGAGCTTATTTTGAATGAAAACTCTACCTACTGATTTCTACATACTGATTGAATGCATTTATTGCCTGTTGCTTTTATTACTTGTTAGAATTGCTGCAAGATGCTGAAGATGAAGCTAAAATCTACTTCTTTCTTAGATTCCTGGTCACCTTTAAAACACCTACATCCAGGATGCGGTTGGCACTGCTGTCTCACAGCGCCAGGGACCTCGGTTCAATGCCAGCCTTGGGCATCTGTCTGTGTGGAGATTGCTCATTCTCCCCGTGTCTGTGTTGGTTTTCTCCAGGTACTCTGGTTTTCTCCCATAGTCCAAAGATGTGCAAGTTAGGTGGATTGGTCATGCTAAATTGCCCATAATGTCCAGGGATGTGTAGGCTAGGTGGATTAGTCATGGGAAATACAGGGTTACAGGGATAGGGTAGGGGGGTAAGTTTGGGTGGGATGCTCTTCAGAAGTCGGTGAGGACATGTTGGGTTGAATGGCCTCTTTCCACCCTGTAGGGATTCTATGGATTTAATCTCACAGCTCAAAATCTATAGTTAAAATTATACCCGAAAGAGATGGAGAGTCCGCAGTACCAATTATGGATAAGATTTGAAATCAAAACTGTTGTATGTTGAAATCCATGGTGACACAGCTGTTGAAAAAAACCTCATGGAATAGTTTTACGCAGTTTTAGCACATGCTGCACTTTCCCTTGTTCAGACAAGAGCGTACTGGTTGTTCTGACATCTTGTTGGAAAGTATTGTTCATAATGAAATACAGCCACCATTTCTGACAGGCAACTCTTTGCCTCCAGTCACGATTCATTCGATTGCAACTTAAAATATGACAGTCATGCGTTTATATCCACAGAGATAGATCTGGGATGCATTAGTTAATAGCTCAGACAGTGCACTCAAAATGTGCAAGTGTATTCCTTTCCAATTACAGTTTTGTCTCTGCCACACATACGCCCTAATACTGCGTATGAATTCCGGTGAACAATTTAAATCAGCGTTCAATCCATAGGTAGACAGTTAATAAATGCTGAGGAAGTATTGCTCTACTTAACCAGATTATATGTCAAGATCTTATCATTCACTTACCGTTGTCGCCCTTAGGCCTATACTGAAATTCGCAACAACTTAAAAAAAATTCGTAAAAATGCCAACAATAGTGGAAACAAATGACATCTAAGTAAACAGTTGTTAGTTCCCGCAGGGATTTTCTGCAAATATTCTGTCCTGTTATTTTTGCCTTTAAAGGCGATTTATCCGTTTCCGTCCCCAAATAACCAGGAACCAATTTTTAACTCAGTTGAAGCGCCTGAACTCCTACGTTTGTTTTGACGGGCGATATGAGGAGACACAATGTTTGACAGGAACTGAAACATTTACCACAAAGTATCTACTGTATCATAGGCAGGGCTGTCAATATTAGAAAGCCACACACACATCGCCGTGGAGAGAAGGAGCGTCATCCACTTTATATGAAATCTCCATCAAACGCGAACGACATGCAATGTTTCATTCTGAATAAAAAGGACGTATCAAATGCATCGCACTGATGAAATTTCGCTGCAAAATTCAACAGATGATTGCCTATAAACTCCGATGCTTTGGACAGTAACCCTTCATAAATAGTGCCACTTTCCTCTGGTCCCAAGTATTATAACCCCGGGGAGGGAACACACAGAAGCGAGAGGCAATGCCTTTATTGATCTAATTTTGGTTTCGGATATCCCGTCACTGTGGCAACTTGCAATAAGAGCGTGTCAGATATGTTAAATGCGAAGGTGGAAACGGGCTGCGGTGGGAGGAACGGACTGGTGGTGAGGAAGGGAGCGCACCTTGTTGTCCTTGCAGCGGAGTTGGTGTTTGCACAAGCGCATTCCTGCGGCCGACTGACTGACAGCCGAGTTCATTGGCAGCGGGATCGCGCGCCCAGACTGGCCGGCGCCGGCGCCGTGACGTCACCCATTCACACAAACCCGCTCCCCCACCAGCTGGCGCCGGCCCGGCGGCTGCCATGACAACGGGCACGCCAATCACGGGTCGGCCACAACCCAGCCAGCTGCTCCCGCGCGCTGATGAATGAACTGTTGTTTAATTCTGCACCTTTTACCTGGGCAGAGAAGGGACGATTTGTACACCTGTATTTTGCACTTTCTCTCATCTCTGCTAATGTCATTTTCTTATAAATGTAGATTTACTTATAGTTTTTTTTTAATCCAGCTGCGCATGTACACTTAGTTAAAGCTTCACCCAATGCTTAATGTAACGTAATTAAATATGCGGCTTGCGCGTTCTTTTCAAAATTTTATTTTTAAAAGAGATATATCCACATTTATATATCTCTCCAAATCTGTGTGCCAAGTATAGCATTTCTACGTTGGCTTGTTCTTCCCCCATCCCTCACCTCGTCCCGGAGATTCAAAGATTGCCTTGAGCACCGTGCAGTTTTCTTTTAAACAGCCGCCTGGTTGCAGAATGTGTCTGGATGGTCAAGCCCTGGTGGGAGAAACTGATCGTGCATCTGGAGCTTGGAACAAAAACAGACATTGCTGGAAAAGCTCAGCAGGTCTGGCAGCGTCTGTGAAGAATAAATCAGAGTTAACGTTTCGGGTCCGGTGACCCTTCCTCAGAATTTGAGGCTTGGAAACCCGTTGGACCGAGGAAAGTGGTATGTATCTGCTCATTTTTTTGTAGGAAAAACTTTCCGTGTTTCCGCTTTTAAAAAAATGTTCTCTATACGCATGGCGACCGCATTTAAACCCTCATGGCGTTCAGCAACACTCTCATTTGCACGTGTGAAGCGAATGGATAGTTTCAGTCAGCAGTAGCAGCCGAAAGTTGATCACTATTATCTTGGCTATTGCTTCTCTCCTGCAGCTTCATAGCCACATTTATATATAACCCAAACCTGGGTGCCAAGTATAGCATTTCTACATTGACTTGTTGTAACTATGTGAAACGTCTATAAACAGTTTTGAGTTCTCATATTTGGTCATAAATGAAGCATGGTGGCAAGAAGTTTAAGAACTCCTCCAGTATTTGCTTACCGTTCGTCCAAGAGGTCCTAGAAATGTATAGGTTTATTGCAAATTTAATTACACATCCGTAAAGTCGTTTTCAAATAATTTGGTTTCAGGCCTGAATCTGTTCAGTCGACGTTTACATGCTGAATGCATCTCCAAGTACAGTAATGTGATTTGTTTCTAAGTCTTGAAGAGACGTGCTCCACGTGGCTGTGTCCATTCTTGTGACAGCATTCAGTAAAACAGCCCACTTAATCGGCTGAAGTAAAGGAATCTGTCGTTATTTCTCTCTCCTGCCCTTTCCACAAGCACGATTTACATTGAAACAGAAAAATAAAATGCTCAAAAGTTGAGTCTTCCATTGCAGATCACAATCTCCAGATGTGTTCACGAGTATTTCATTGATGTGGCCCATCCAGCGAGGAGGCGTTGCTGTATCAGGTTCTGTGAAATGATGTGCGTTAACTGGATCAAATGTCAGGAGAGAAACTTTTAGGTGAGCAGTGATTGATGTGTCGTAAGCTTTAAGTTAGTTATTGTAAAGGACAAATATCAAGCTAGAATAAAGATAACTTGATTGGAGAGGGGGGCAGTTATTGTGGAATGAGGACACATATAGTGCAGGCAAATTTAGAATTAAGAAAACTGTAAGGGTACAACATGATGTCTTAAGATAGAGCTGGTTCCTGTAAATTGATGTACAAAAGAGGAAAGGTAGGGTAACCAAACGCAGTTCTATGGATGACAAAATAGATCAAGGGTAAGATAAAGCAGAATAAAGGTGCAGTTTACAAGCCAGGAAGATAATACATGCAAGAATGTATAAAATTCATGCAAGTTGAAAAATGAAATGAGAGGCAAGGAGAAGGTATGAGAATAGACTGGTTGCTAACATAAAAGGTAACCCAATAGTCCTCTGTAAGCATGTACCTAAGAAACCAAAGCTTATAATTTTAATGGTCAGAAACTCAACTCTGGTGGATGTACAAAACAGCATACACCTCCCATTCTTTTTGGTTCTTTTCTGCATCTGCAGATATTGGTCAACCGCAGGTGGGTCAGCTGGATTGCTGGTGCTGTGAAAATCTAACCAGGTGACCAGGGACAGCCATAAAAGGGGTGTCATGTGCTAAGATTGGTCAGATAGAAAGGACCTGAAGAATGGGTTGTATGTAGGGCAAGTGCTGCTGAGAAGACAGCCGAGGGCCACTGGCTGTTTGTATCTGGGGTCAGGAAGCTCCAGGAGCTACTGATAGTCCAATGCAGTTGTACCTTGGGAAAGCCCCAGCAGCTGACAAAATGGTCAAAAGATGCTGGCTCGGTGTCGGAGTTAGGGCTTAGAAGAAGATTACAACCATTGACAGTGCAGCTGAGAATGGGTGTGAATAAATGCCAGAAGCAGTATCTGCTTGGTGCAGCTAGGAAATGTGGAGTTCTGAGAAATCTCAGACTTAGTGAAGTTAACTGTCTGCAAAAGAATTAGAAATGTGCATGAGTAAGCACCAGGGAATCCAATCTCAGAGGAGGTAATTAAACAACCAGGATTTGAGTAGTATATGAACAGCGTAGATTTTGTGGGAGTTCTAAAGCTTGGTCTTTGAAAGTAAGAAATAGAACCCTTTTTAAAAAGGAGATAAAATTTTAAAGAGATTTGGCAATCCACAATTTCACTAATGTCCAGGAATTTTGCTGAGAGGTCCATAAAATTGTAATGACTGCGTTTGCTATTTGACACTCTGTGGAGCATCTCATCACAATTCAAAAATATTTGGAATCTCACACTTTGTTTACTTTTAATTAAAAAGTTACTTCTCCCAAGCCAGGCTGCAACAGGGATAGTAAATAAGAATAAGGTGAAATAGAGAATCTGTGCCTGGTGCCAGAATGCATAGCTGAGGTACTAAGTGTATATTTGGCATCTGTCTTTTCAAGGAAGTCACTGCTAACCAAATTAGTGAAAGAGATGGTGTTTTAGCCACTGGCTAAACTGGACTAACAATTGAGTAAGTGTAAGAATTAGAGAGGCTGTCTGTACCTAAAAGTTGATGAGTCACCAGGAGCTGATGGGATACAACTTTATTTTTATTCATTCACAGGATCAGGGCATTGCTGGCTAGGCAGCATTTATTGCTGATCCCTAATTGCCCAGAAGACAGTTAAGAGTCAACCACATTGCTGTGGGTCTGGAGTCACATATAGGCCAGACCAGGTAAGGATGGCAGTTTCCTTCCCTAAAGGGCATTACTGAACCAGATGAGTTTTTCCCCAACAATTGACAACAGATTCATGGTCATCATTAGATTCTTAATCTCCAGATATTTATTGAATTCAAATTCCACCACTTGCTGTGGCAGGATTTGAACCCCAGACTATTATCTGGGTCTCTAGATTAACAGTCCAGCAATAATACCACTAGGCCATCATGTTTCCTGCTTTTGAGGATGCTGAGGGAAGTAAGCAAGGAAATTGCAAAGACACTGGCCATGATCTTTTTAGTTTTTCTCGGATAGTGCCTCAGGACTGGGGAATTGCAGATGTTACATTGTTGTTGGAGAAAGGTGGAAGGATAAACCCAATAATTTAGGCTGGCCATTAGAACTTCACTGATGGAAACACTTATTTCAAAACTATAATCTGGGAGAAAATTAACAGTCGCTTTCATTAATTAAAGAAAAAGACAGCATGCATTTTTTAAAGACAAATAATGTTGAACTAACTTAAATTGAATTTTTGATTTGCTTATTATACCTGTTTACTTTCAGGATGTAAAAATGTACAGCATTATACATGCATGTCTTATCACAATTCATCTGTTGCTGCTTCCTGCTTTTTTTTTTGCTCTTTATATTCTTTATTACTGACAGCAAATGTATCTAACACATGTTGATAGATTCATTAGTTCATTGAGAGCCTTGTGAAAAGGCTCTACAGATGGAATTCCCCTTCTTGTTTGAATTTAGAAGTTAAGTTCGCTTTCTGACAGAAGCTGTAGCTGCAAAATTCTACCTTTCTTTATAATCATATATTGTAGAGCACTCTTGAATGTCATCACCATCGTGCAACACAAATGTAATGCTGGAATCATCACAACCTTCTGCCTGGACCACTTCCAGTACAGGTTTCTGTACCCCTTAAGTCATTACCAATGCTTTCAGGGTTCAGGCATACCTTTTTAAACAATAAGAAACTGACAACTTGTACAACAATTGATAGTTAATGAGGACTTACCCAGGAACTGAAACTGGGATCTCTGGTCTATTGTTCAACAAATTATTCCAAAGTGAGAATCGTACTCCTAGAGATGAGAAGTGTTTGATAAAGTGCAAAATTGAACCCCATGGAATCAAATGAACAATGAGGGCATGGATATGTATTTGCCCGAGTGACAGAGCCAGAGAGTAGTGGTGAATTCTTTTTGGACTGGAGGACAATATACATGGGGTTCTCCAGCTATTGATACCAGGCCCCGACATTTCATTTCTTGATGTATACAAATGACTTGGTCTTGGGTGTACAGGGCAAAATAAAAACCTTGTAGATGAGGCAAATTGTAAAAGTATTGTGAACTGTGAGAATAGTGATGAACTTCCAGAGGACATGGCAGGTTTCTTGTACAAGTGCAATTGTAGTAGATGAAATCTAATGCAGAAAAATGTGAAGTGTTCCATCTTGGGGAGAAGGAGGGGCAGTTTAAAACAAAAGATACAGTTTTAAAGGGGGCTGAGGAACAGGGAGACTGGGGTGGGGTATATGTGCAAAAGTTGGTGAAGGTGCCAAGACAGATTGAGAAAGTAGTTAAAGCAACTTATGAGATCCAAGGTTTAATAAGTAGTCGCAGAGATCCAAAACAAGGAAGTTATGCTGAACATTTATACAACACTGGTTCAGCTGATTAGCATATTCTATTTAATTTTTAGGAATCACAATTGGAAGGCTGTGGGAACTTCAGACAGGGTTTGGAAAGATTTACCTGAATGGTCACAGGAAAAATGAATTTGCGTGGCAAGTTACATTGGAGAAGAGTGTAAGGAGATTTGATAAAGATGTTCAAAATCATAACAATCTAGACAATAGATGGAGCAATATTGTCTCATTGATAGCCATAAACATCCAACACTGCGATGCATGACAAAAGAACAAGCAACAAGAAAAGGAAACACCATGTTGTGTAACGAGTTGTTAGGATCTGGAATGCACTGCCCGAACACGTGGTGGAGATAGATCTGATCATGACTTTCAGAGGAGAATTGGCTAATTTTTCTGAAGTGAAACCACTTTTGGAAAGGGCTGGGGAGTGGGATTAATTAATGTCCTTTTGAATAGAGCTGGCATGTAAACAGTGGGTCAACTGGCCTCCTTTTTGCAGTTGCCATTTCTAAGATGCATAATGATTGGATTTTCTTTTGTGACATTGCCTTAGAGAAGCAACTTCACTAAAATGTGACAAATTATATAACTGAAGAGGGAGAAGGTATATTTTTGTCTTTAAATAATCTGAACAGGCAAAATACACCATCTACACAGCCTTGTTTTACTTAAGTGTGTAAAAATATCCTTATTTAGTGTACAAGTGAATGTAGTTTATTTGGCTGACAAGCTTTATTGTGAAATCTATATTTGTCCCTCGAAAACTCCCCTGCAAACATCCTACCCCACACGTTACATTTAGCTTTAACTCAGGTGTTCATAGACCTATCATGTCCCCTAATATCTTAAAGTCACTTCACGACCTTGTGACTTGTCCTTGCGCTATGTTGCAGTCTCTTCCAGCTCTGTGTACCTTCCAATTTAGACTTTGCAACTCCCCACTACCATTTTTAACTTTGAAGATGCTATATATAAGTTATTGCACATTATCAATAATGTTGTGTTTTGCATACTTTTGTTTTTGTTCATTTGTTTCTGTATCTTAGTATTTTAAATTTTATCTATTTGTTTTCTTGATGCAACTTGCATGGACTGTGGCAGAGACACAGCCACATTTTAAACTGTGGAAAACATCAGGGACGATACAGAGTTTGGAAGGAACTGAGTTATGCTGATAATTTGGAGTGGTCGTGTCATGGAAAGAATGCGCAACAGAAGAACTAAATTACGTAGAGTTATACAGCATGGAAACAGACCCTTCAGTCCAACTTGTCTACGCCGACCAGATATCCTAAACTGATACAGTCCTATTTACTAGCTTTTGGCCCATATCTCTCTAAACCATTCTTATTCATATCACCCATCCAGATGCCTTTTGTAGTGATTATAATAAGTATTTCAAATTTTTATGGTGAATAACATATGTGGAAAAATATTGCACAAATGGCAGCTGCCATTTTGTGTTTTTCTTTCTTTTGATTTCACTTGCTACTATTTTTGTGTGATTTGCTTCTTAATTCCAGATTTGATAACACAGTCACAGGTTGGATTAAAATTTCAGCCAAGCCTTGCTGTCACAGTTGTCTCTATTTTAACATCCTAGTACGAACAAGATGTCTGCAAATCTCGTAATGGTTTTTTTCCTCCACAACACAACCAGCTGACAGTTCTTCTGAAACTATTATGCGCCCTGAAGTGTATCAGCTTCTGAACAATGGTTTTATTTTAGTTTATGAACTTTCTATGTTGCGGATGTGAGTGTAAAATGTGACCAAATATTGTGGTTGATCTTGTGTAGAAATTGACATTTTGGCGTAACTGTTACTTGTTGTGGATACATAGCAACAAGAGCACTACCTTAATTCTATGTTCAGTTTTTTCCAATTCTATTTATCCTTTGTTCCTTCAGCTGCCTATATAACCAATTGAAAGTTGACATGGTCTCTGCTTCAGTGTCTTTAACTCTTATAGTGCTTTTCTCAATCTCCATGATTAGGTTTCAAGTGTGAGCTAAATTCTAAACATTCAACTTGTGATTAGTCAGCATTTAGATCACCATAATTTCTATAATACTGGTGGTCTTTGTAGCTAAGTGTTGATGTGCAATCTGTTTGAATTAATGTACTGGAATTCATAACTTGATCTTTGTTTCTCCCCAGGAAAATGGAGTACAGTTGAAGTCATAGAAATTTTCAATTTGTGCAACATGGACCAGGAAAAGAACAGATTGCACAGGCTGCCTGGTCAGATGTTATCAGCTATCAGAATTGCAACAAATATCCTTCAGTAAGAATGCATAGCATATCTCTAGAAATGAGATTTGCAGAGTCTATTTATGTGTGCTGTAACAGAAAAAAAAAGCTACACTGTCGATGAACTAATTTATCAGAGCAAAGAGTACTATATTTCCACTATCTGCATTGAAGAATGCATAACTTGATTCTCACCAGTCCAGCCATTGTATATTAGCAGTGCATTTTGTGTAGTCCAGAAATATTGATGATAATTGATACAGGTTTTCTGCTGTCGTGCTTTTTCTCTTATTTCAAATCACAATTGAAAATTAAAGATAAATAAATTTAGCAAATCTAGCAAATACTCAGTTTACAAATTCAGAAGGGAACCCAGAAAAAGTAAATCTTTAGTCTTAATAAAACCTTTTTTGACAGAGTTTGGGTATTATCATTTCTGATTAATTTTTTTTTGCCTTAGCTAATCCTGATCAACTACTTTGACTGAGAATGTACTTAATATTTTGGTGAAAAATCTCATTTGTTTTGTTTCTTTCTAAAATTAATTTTAAATCTTATGCATTTTTTTGTTAAATCTTCAAATAGCTGCATCTATATGTATTGTCATTCAGTATTTGAAGGCATGGACTCTAACCTGTTGACCATGTTATTCCAGCTGTCTGTGCAATATTGGCTACATTGTGATCAGATGAAGGCCATTGTTATTAAAAGTTGTGCTAATTTTAGCCCCTTTCATTTAATATGGACACTTTGAGTTGGCAAGGGGATTTTCATGTGGGTTTTCTAGTTTGGACTTATGCTACCATCCCAGACCTGAATAGCCAGTATAAATAATGTTTTCTATATTTTCCTTCTAAATCTAAGTGGAATGGAAGATTAGTAGACTGTTAGATTATACTATGAGAGAGGAAGGAAATATTCAGTCTTAAATACCCCATTCATCTGAAAGAAAACCATTCTTTCACAATGTAGAAATAAACATGTGCTGCATCTTTCAGATGTGATTTTTGTTTTGGGTGAGAACCTTTCTATTTCATTCTTGCTTTCTTGACGGTCTCTTCTCTTTTGAGTAAGATGGAAGTACACTATTGAGAAGTTGATTGAAAAGGCTGAGATAAAAGCTGAGATAAACAGTTTAAGATGAGCCATTTTTATTTCTGAATTAACTGTTAGGCATTTGTGAAATATGCATCAGTAATGAAGATTAAATTGACAGCTTTGAGGTGTAATTTGTAATCGTCACGTTTGATAAATTCATATAATCAATGTAACAAATCACTTTTTCTTTCTCAAAACCAATGGCATGAACTATCTTGTCTTAGTAACCCACAAGAACATTATCTATAGTACATGTGTTAGTCTTAAACTAAATCCTTACTAGATAGGCTAGTGTGAAGTAGACAGCTTATTAAAGCCTATGTTTCCTGATTATCAGCTTTAGAATCTTGCCATTGTAGCATTGTGTTTTCATGAATGAGTTCAGTGTCTGGGACTTGGTTGGTTTTTCTCAGTGATCACACAATTTGTCAAGAAATACCTCCCTGATTCCTGTCTTGAATTTATTCTCTGCAGTTCTGACCGTGCTGTCTGATCCTGCTATGTCTATCCATTGTTTTTGGTTTTAATTAATCTAAATTGGTAAGTATTTCTAAGCCACATCTTGAAACATTTTTTGATAATGCCTTTAATGTGAGATTTGGTTGCTGTAACTACACTGTCAAAGCATTCATGTCATGAACAACTCTTGGGTTGTTGGATGAGTATACGTATATATCAGTCCACAATTTAGCGAATGCATTCAGAAATGTAAGAGTTGCCAGGAGAGGGAAGAGGGAGGCAGAGGCAGGAGAGAGCATGGGATTATCAAAATGAGTATTTTTGAGGAGTAACTCTATTGCGATTGTTGTTATGGTACAGATCAATTTACTGTCATCTGGATATTACTACACCTGACCAAGGGAGTATTTGATGCTGATACTTGAGTAAGTGCTCATTGTCCAGTACTGATTACTTGGGGTTGATTCATAGTGAGGCAAATTGGGAAAAACAGCTACCTGGTCTTGTGTTCTAACTGTTTCTATTGATTAAAATTAACATTTGGCTTCATTATGTGTGCCTGCCTAATCTCTTAGAATGGCTAATGCACTTGATTAGTAGGCCATGTTGAAGAAGTTGCAGAGGGGATGGCAAAAGCTTTGTTTGATTGACATCTTTATCACTTGTCATAAATTGTTATTTCTTTTGAAGAGCTTTTTTTCAATTCATATGTTTATTTACACATGATTAAGAGACAAGGTATGGAGCTGGATGAACACAGCAGGCCAGCCAGGCAGCATCAGAGGAACAGGAAAGCTGACATTTCGGGTCTGGACCCTTCTTCAGAAATGGGGGAGGGGAAGGGGGCTCTGAAATAAATAGAGAGAGGGGCAGGCGATGATAGAAGGTGGATAGTGGAGCAGATAGGTGGAGAGAAGACGGACAGGTCAAGGAGGCGGTGATGAAGCCAGTAAAGGTGAGTGTAGGATGGGGGTTGGTCAGTGAGGGGGACGGGCAGGTAGATGGGAGGGAAGAAGGGCACGTCAAGGAGGCGGGGATGAGGTGAGTGTAGGTAGGAAGTGGGGGTGGGTGTTGGTCAGTGAAGTGGGAGGAGCGGATAGGTGGGAGAAAAGATGGACAGGTCAAGGAGGTGGGAACGGGGGCGGGTGATAGTCTTGGGATGAGGTCGGGTTTGGGGAGATTTTAAAGCTTGTAAAGTCCACATTGAGACCATTGGGTTGTAGGGTTTCCAGGCAGAATATGAGGTGCTGTTCCTCCAGTTTTCGGGTGGCATCATTCTGGTACTGGAGGAGGCCCAGGAGTGGGAGTGGGAGTTGAAGTGGTTCACGACTGGGAGGTGCAGTCGTTTGTCACGAACCGAGCGTAGGTGCTCTACAAAGCAGGCTCCAAGCCCCGATGTAGACGAGGCCACATTGGGAACAGCGGATACAAAATACCACATTAGCGGATGTGCAGGTGAACATCTGTTTAATGTGTAAGGTTTTCTTGGGGCCTGGGATGGAGGTGAGGGGGGAGGTGTAGGGGCAGGCTTAGCACTTCCTGCAGTTGCAGAGAAAGGTGCCGGGGGCTAGTGGGGAGTGTGGAGCGGACGAGGGAGTCATGGAGAGAGTGGTCCCTCTGGAAGGCAGATAAGGGTGGGGAGGGAAATATGTCCTTGGTAGTCGGGTCAGATTGCAGGTGGCTGAGAATGATGCATTGAATCCAGAGGTTGATGGGGTGATACGTGAGAACAAGGGGAATTCTGTCTTTGTTCTTACTGCGGGGAGGGGGTGTGAGGGCTGAGGTGCAGGAAACGCAACAGATGCGGTCGAGGGCGTTTTTTTTCCTTGAAAAACGAGCACATCTGGGATGTCCGGGAGTGGAATGCCTCATCTTGCGAGCAGATGTGGCGGAGGTGAAGGAATTGGGAATAGGGGATAGCATCTCTTGTGTTTCCCACACCTCAGCCCTCACACCCCTTCCCCGCAATAAGAACAAAGACAAAATTCCCCTTGACCTCACGTATCACCCCATCAACCTCTGGATTCAACGCATCATTCTCCGCCACTTCAGCCACCTGCAATCTGACCCCACTACCAAGGATATATTTCCCTCCCCATCCTTATCTGCCTTCCGGAGGGACCACTCTCCCCATGACTCCCTTGACCACTCCACACAACACACCAGCCCCACTAGCCCCCGGCATTTTTCCCTGCAACCGCAGGAAGTGCTATACCTGCCCCTACACCTCCCCCCTCACCCCCATCCCAGGCCACAAGAAAACTTTCCACCTTAAACAGATGTTCACCTGCACACCTGCTAATGTGGTCTGTTGTATCTGCTGTTCCTGATGTGGCCACCTCTACATCGGGGAAACCAAGCGGAGGCTTGGAGACCGCTTTGTGGTGGACCTACACTTGGTTCGTGACAAACGACTGCACCTCCCAGTCGCGAAGCACTTCAACTCCCCCTCCCACTCATTGGATGACATGTCCATCCTGGGCCTCCTCCAGTGCCACAACGATGCCACCCGAAAACTGGAGGAACAGCATCTCATATTCTGCCTGGGAACCCTACAACCCAATGGTCTCAATGTGGACTTTACAAGCTTCAAAATCTCCCCACCCCCGACCTCATTCCCAAGACCAGCCCCTCTCTTGTTCCTGCCTCCTTGACCTGTCCATCTTTTCTCCCATCTACCCGCTCCTCCCACCTCACTGACCAACCCCCACCCCCACTTCCTACCTACATTCACCTCATCCTCACCTCCTTGACCTGCCCGTCTTCCCTCCCATCTACGTGCCCCTCCCCCTCACTGACCAACCCCCATCCTACACTCACCTTTACTGGCTTCATCCCCGCCTCCTTGACCTGTCTGTCTTCTCTCCACCTATCTGCTCCACTATCCACCTTCTGTCACCGCCTCCCCCTCTCTCTATTTATTTCAGAGCCCCCTTCCCCTCCCCAGTTTCTGAAGAAGGGTCCAGACCCGAAACGTCCGCTTTCCTGTTCCTCTGATGCTGCTCAGCCTGCTGTGTTCATCCAGCTCCACATCTTGTTATCTCAGACTCCAGCATCAGCAGTTCCTACTATTTCTGATTAAGAGACAAAGTGGGTAAAGGCTTTTGACATTGGCACTATGAATGGCTGTAGTTGTTTGACTTTTTTTGGAAATTAAGCAGCTTCTCACAGATTTTTCATAGTTCTTTGCTTATTATATCAGTTTAAAAATTTCAAAGATTGCCAGACTTGCCAATGGCTTATTGGTCCTGGTGCACAGTGGATATTGGGAGAGTGGTCTGGAGGTTGCGTGGAGGGATATAGGAGTTTTGGGGGTGGTGATGATGGATCATGGTTTAAGGGCCTGACAGTTGTGATTGCAATTGAGCTATGTCAGAGTAACTGAAGGCAGGTCTTCTAACCTGCTGATCTATCCACCTCACTGAATCCTCAGAATGAAAATGTGGTAGGCAGGTTCCTCCTTTTAATGGAAGCAGGTTTGTGGAGTTTGGAACTTGCCCAAATCCTGCTTCTCATCATCTTTGTGAAAATTCACCCTATATTTGTGATTATTAATTTGGACCAGTGTCACTTTAAGGAGCTTTCTCCATATGTAGTTTAATGTATCAAACTCTCGCTGATCACATAGCTGAGCCAGATGAAGCAGCTGTCTGCTGAGAATTAGAGACAGGGGGCAGATAGGCTAATCTTATCCTTGGGCCATGTTATGAGTGAAATTTTGGCCGTGATGGAGAAAATAGAAATTTGGTGGAACAATTGTCTAACAATCAGATATACAGATGTGTTTTTCTTTTGTTCATAACTTTTTGCCTCAATTAGATGACCTTTGAAATTTCTATAATTTTAAGACATTTTTACATTTGTGTTCTAATCCTGCACTGTAGTTTTCAGAGTGGCATTATTTCTGTAATTGTCAGTTTTAAATGCTGATACTTCAATTTAATATTACAGACAATCACTGGGATTTGAAGAATTCTTATTGAAGTGAAAAATAATCACTATCGACAGGGGCAGAATCTAGTGTACTGATTTAACTCTTTTCATTTCTGCCTGTTTCTGACTGTTGAACAATCTGAATCTAAGTGCGCTCCATTGCTATTAAGTATTATTTGATTGTACCCATTCAGCTGCTCAGAATAGACTTTTGTCTGAATTAAGTATTATCTGTCTTGGTCAGTGACAATTGCAATAACAGAGATCTGACGAGAATCATTAGGCAATTTGAAGTTTCATGATTCAAGTGATGTGTAATGAGAATAGTATGTGCAGTTAAAATGTCTCCTTGGCTTGTTCTGATTATATAGGTCAGCAGTCCAGTTAGCCGTAGTGATTTCTGCTGTCCTTAATGTTATCTGAAAATGACTGAGAGAAGGAAAGACCGTGTTTAGATTTGGAAAGGTGACGGTATAGTCACAGTTTAAGATAGGATTACATGGGGCAACAGGAGTATCTAATGAAACTGATGACAGTGCTCATGAGTTGAATCCTGCTGGAAAAATAACTGTATTAACAAACCACTGTTATTGTCATTGAAATGTTGCAGCGTATTCAAGGAATTAAAAGATGCACCATGAGTTATGAATCTTCAGAGCTTGCTGGTCCATTTAAGTGTCATTGGAATAGTTCTCAACCACTTGGCTATTTTTTGGTTGCTTAGGAAAGGTTGTGCTGTTAGCTAGCAATACAAGTATTGGCAATCAACCGTTTGAGTCTGAACTTACATTCTTTCTGTTGGATTCTTTTGGTAATTTTTTAAAATGGTTATTTTCTGTTTCTTCCTTCATCTAGTTTTCTCCTCTTTTTATGTATTTTATATACATACCTGTATTTGTACCTTGTGACTCCATGTCAGATCCAGAGTCAAGTTTCACTGCAGGGCTTCAACATAAAAGCCAAGACTAACAATTCAGTGAAGTGCTGAGGGCGTAACTGCAATGTTGAAGGTTCTGTAGTTTGGATGAGACAGTAACCCACTGACTGCTTGAGTGAATGTAAAATATTCCAGATCAGTCTCAAAGAAGAGCAGGGATTTATTCCTGGTATGCTGGTGAATATTTCTCTCTCAATCAACTTTACCAAACAAAAACCCAAATTATCTAGTTATTATCACGTTGCTCTTTGAGAGAGTCTACTGTTTGAAAATTAGCTGCTACATTTCATATTATTATGTGTCAAATGTACCTAATTGAATGTAAAGAACTAGATGTTTGGTCATGAAAAGTGCAATTTAAATTTTTCTTTTTCTTTTTTTAACTGTTCAAATTCATCCTCATTCTTCTCATTTTGTTTCATTCTCAATATTTACCTTTTCTTAGGATAAAGCAAGACAATGCTGAACCCACTATTCACTGAGGACATCCTGTTGCCATCACTATTCGCTTGTTGTACCATTATCAACTCTCACTCCTTCACAGTAATGATGCAAAAACTACAGCTGAAGTATGTAGAAAAATGTCAAACAGGGCATGTTGCAAGATGACCCACTTCAGAAAGAACTAACCCATTTAACAAGTGGACTTACATATTATGCTTAAACTGAAAAGTTTGAGTTCTCTTTGCACTGTTCCCACAGTTCATGTTATGGGACTAATGAATATTGACGAGTGTATATTGGTTGTACATTACTGCATGGGCATAATATGAAGATCGGTTACTGTGTCTAAACTTAATAATTTTATCTTCCATATCTGTCAGTGCCCAAAAAAACAAAGGGGAGCCTAAGATTTAAGTTACATGCAGGTATTCAGAAGACAAAAGTCTATACACAACACCAAAGTGCTACAGGCAGTATCTGAGAGTTATGTTTTGTGATTTTTATTTTACCATAGATTGAGAGGTAGTGGCTTTGTCTCGATGTTTTCTGAATATTGCTGATTACTTGTACATTATACATCTGAACTATCTGCATTATGTAAGTATCCAAGATGGTCAGATGAGACATTGACAGTTTGAATGTTTGTCTTATGTCTAATGTTTGTTATTTTAAAACAAAACTGTCAAACCCACATTTATGAACCTTCCCTTTTTCTCACCTGAAACTGATGAGTTCCTCAGCAAAGAGCTGTTGAAAGTTGAAATTGAGAAAAACTTTTTAATGCTTGTATAAGAGCCTTTCACAATCATAGTATTTTATCAAACACAGCCAATAAATCACAAGAAATATGGCAACCCACTGCACACAACAAAATCCCATAAACAGGAATGTGATAAAGACATATATCACTTCAAATAAACAGTTTGATAGATACATATTGCGTACGATGCTTGGAAAAATGCTATTCCAACAAAGTGGGTCTCATGAAAAGTTTACATCCGTGAAAAATGACAGAATGGTTTACGTTTAATGACTCATCTAAAAGACTACACTTCTGACGGTGCAGCACTCTTTCTAGTGCTCCTGAGACATCACTCGTACTCCTGCATCATTGTGTAGGTTCACGCAAGAGATTTGACCACATCACCACTAAATACAAGAAAGAGGAGTAGTAAGATTTCTAATGGTTTGATTCCAGCAATGGGTGTTGTTCTCATTTGTTTTCCTGAGAGCTGCTAATATCTCATCTTCCAGAGTACTTGTTTCAGCTTTTCTAGGGTTCCTGTTGGTAATCAGTTTACTGAGTTGCGTATTTGGGTGGAAGGAGAATTGCTGTATCACCTGTTCTATAATATTACCAGTAAGAAGAAGCCTAGACGAGGCGGTCTTTTCATTTTTAATCTGCAGTGCTGAATGCCAGGGACTAACTGACATGCAGTAGGGTGGAGATCTGTGCTTGACTCTCAATAAAGTATTAGAAACGTAGAGAGAGGATACATTGTATGTAGCTTAGCCAGATCTTGTCCTTATCGAAAAGTAGGGGGTTATTGGTCAGCAGCCAGGGGTAGGTATTCTGACTGACAATAATATCCCTCCTTAATCTGGGGATTAGAAAGTCAATGGTCTTGACTGGAATCTACTGACACCAATGCAGTGCAAGAAATTAGCTTGATTTTAGGTTTTCACACACCTTCCTACCTCAGTACTACATCTAGTATTGTGTTTATCCACTGAACTATTTAGTGGAAATAATTAAGAATCCAGCGATTACTACTAACCAGTTATGTTGTTCACATTTTGCTCTTTGCAAGACGTTGTAAAATTAAAAGTTGTAATTGAAATAAATTGTTGGAACTTGATTTACAAGATAGACCTCATCTCAAGTGAAGTAAACATGTGCACAAACCAATAAACAGTTTTGTGCACTTAGGTGCTGTTTTGCTCAGTCTTATAAAAGTTTATTTAAAGTATTATAGAGCTGTATGATAAGCTGGTTTTTGCTTCTAAGCAGGACTACACACCATCTCTTTCCATCCATCACAAGCTCAGCACCTGTGCTCACTTTATGAATGTCAATTAAGGGTGTTTATACGATCATAAATGTTCCTGTAGGCTAAAAAAAATAAAATGAATATTATTCCAATTGTCCTTTATTAAGTGAGAAGTTTGCATTAGTTGTGGAAGGCAAAATAAAGAAAAGAAACATTCACTAAGTGTGTGTATATGTTGATTTTAAAGCAGTCCTTCTCTCAATGTGAAGTTGGGGCATATATAGTTCCTAGAAGAGCTGTTCCAAATGGTAGACTTGTGGTGAAGATTTGTACTAGTCTTCTATAAGCTGAACTCTTATGATAAATAACAACTTCCCTCTGAAGCTTTAGACGTTTATTGGGCAAACATAATTTAAGATGTGATTGAATAAATTACTTCAAAAGCTGACATTTGCAATGAAATGGTCTGTTGTGTTATCTGATGAACGTTTTATGGTATTAACTGTTCAGCTTTAGCCGGGAATTGCTTCCTGCACCTTGGCAAAACCTGAATGAGATTACGTACACCCCACTTGAGTGCAGTTTGTGCACCTGCGTTTCTGGCTATTTAACACTGCAAATTGGGCCTAATGTCAAGTAACCCAAAAGAAGTAAAATTAATATCATAAAAGAAAGAGGAATATCAAATGAGTTTCAAAGCTTATTTGATGCTTAACTGAAAGATGTATTCCAATACTGTCTTGGTCAACCTATTGCTTTTATGATTTGTAAACTTCAGTATGTTATCTCCATCTTAACAATGACCAAATCCAGCCAACTCATTACCCCAGATAACAAGGTGTAGAGCTGGATGAACACAGCAGGCCAAGCAGCATCAGAGGAGCAGGAAGGCTGACGTTTCGGGCCTAGACCCTATCTCTGAACTCATTACCCCTGTGCTTTTTGGCCTTTTATGGATCCTGGCATAATGGTTTGAATTGGAAACTCATCTTCATGTTCAAATCCCTTAAAAGCATTTTTCTGTAACATTATCAACTTTGTGTTCCTCTCATTCTAGCTGCTTCTGCATTCTCATTTTCCTTTGTTCCACCATTGATGTCTGTCTAGGTCCTAGGCTTTTTAATTCCACCGTCCCACTCTCAAACCTCACCATCTTGCTCTTTCTGCTCCTGTTCAGTATCTGTTTATGTGGCTCAGTCTGATAGTCAAGTGCTGTTAAAGTCACTATATGCATACAAGTTGTAATCCAGTGAGTAAATGCAACTTAACATGTCAAACAGAACTCATGAGCATCAAAGTGACTTGCAGCTGTGGTATACTTGAAAGTAATGATCATATGGAGCAAGAGCAAGAGTCAACATAATGCATCTTTAACTGCAGACTATTGATCCACTCCTGATTTCTATTCAGAGACAAGTGCATTTTGGTTAAGGGCAGCTGTGACCATATGCAATGGAATGGACTTGTTGACTTGGCACCAACTCAGTTAGACGAGGCACTGGAGAGCTACTAGTACTAAAGAGTTGGGAGAGGAGAGCTAAAATAAAACAGGAAGGAGCAGAAACCTGTGCAGGGCAAGAGATAGCCATCATAACCCAATATATGTCAGCTCCAATCAGGAGGAAGGTTCAGAAACCTTTCTTTAGACTTGTGTGTCTATATGCATATCACAGTGCTGCTTTACTAAATGGAAGAGGCTGGAGAGATGAGTAAATATATATTGGCTTCTTTCTTGTCCTTTAAAATTACTGGGTTCTTTCAGAACAAGAATAATATATTTGATTAGGCTAATGGATGTTGGGAAAGCATTTACTGTATTTTGACAAATTTGATCCAGTTGAAATGTATTGACCCCTTACTATGGTACACATTTTAGACTCCTCATTAGTCTTTAAAAGATTGTAGAGAGAAAACTAGCAAAGTAGGTCTAGACAAATTTTATGAACAGAACCACAAGACTTTACTGTAGGAAATGTGAACTGACCTGACCTATTGTACACGTTTACATTACAATTTCTTGAATTCTTGCAAATTGTATTTTTTGAGTCTTGTTTAACGTTACCAATTTTTAGCAGGTTGCTATGAATACACAAGCAAGAAAGGACAAGTTATTGGTTTAAAAAAAGTTTTGTGGATTGCAATAACAAATTAGAATGTTTGGGTGGAATTTACCCATCCGTTGAGCAATGTGTTCAATGATGGGAAAATATGGCGCAAATGGGAAAAATCAAATTGTTGACATTGAGAAAAAGGGTCCAATTTCTTTTCCTTCAGGTTCAAATGGCATGTACTGAATCTCAATAATGAGCAGCAACTATGTTATTTCCATATGTTTACATCTTATTAATAACTAAACTTGTCTCACATTTATGCAGTTCCCAATTTTCTTCTCCTTGCTGGAGAAACTGTATGCCATCAATTCTCCATATGGAAGTCAATATGTTTACCTGGCAACAGCAGATCGCCATTTCCTTCTCTGAGCCTTTTGCACAACTCCACCTCACCACCATTTCCCTGCATGCTCATGGACACAGTCCTCTTCCACCACTTTTTCACGCAAGTGAGCATCGCCAAACCACTAGTTTTCCCACATCATCATGGCTGCTTCAGCCCTTCAGGACTTCGCTTTGTAGCTGAGAGACACTTAACAACTTGATTCTGTCAGGCCGTTTTACAAATTGGGGAAAATATGCCTTGACTCATGATGCATTTTATGGCTTTTAGTTTCTTAGCACTGCTCACTTTGCAATTAGTTGAAAACTTCCATCCTCTGTGACTTGGATTGCTTTTTAATGCATAGGCCTTTCAGTCCTAACTTATAGGCTACAGGCTATGTAGTTTGCCTTGCCTTTTAGTGCAGAGGAAAAGGCAGGCGGCTGGTCTTAGGGTCATACAGCATGGAAACAGGCCCTTTGGCCCAACTTGTCCATGTCGACCTTAAACTGAATTAGACTCATTTTCCTGTGTTTGGCCCAGATCCCTCTAAACCTTTCCTATCTATGAATCTGTCCAAATATCTTTTAAAAGTTATAATGTACCCGACTTTATTACTTCTTCTGGCGCTTGTTCCATATACGCACCATCCTCTGTGTGAAAAGGTTGTCCCTCAGGTCCCTTTTAAATCTTTCCCCTTTCACCTTAAACCTATGCCCTCTAGTTTTAGATTCACCCACTCTAGGAAAAAGACCTTGGCAATTCACCTTATCTTTGCCCCTCAAGATTTTATCAACTTCTATCAGGTAACCCCTCAGCTTCCTATGCTCCAGGAAAAATAGTCACAGTCTATCCAGCCTGCCCTATAACTCAAACTTTCCAGTCTCAGTAATATCTGTGTAAATCTTTTTTGCAAGCTCTCCAGTTTAATAACATCCTTCCTAAAGCAGGATGACTAGAGTAGTGTGCAGTACTCCAAATGTGGCCTTACTACTGCCTTGTTCAGCCCTAAAATGATGTACCAACTCCCATACTCAATGTTCTGACCGATGAACAAAAATGGGCCGAACGTCTTTTTCGCCACCCTGTCTATCTACGATGCCACTTTCAAGGAACTATATGCCCACACCTCTAGGCATCTCTGTTTGACAACACTCCCTAAGGCCCAACCATTAAATTGTAAGTCCTGCCCTGGTTAGTCTTAACAATAAGTGCAACACCTCGCATTTATCTAAATTAAACTCTTTCTGCCATTCCTTGGTCCACTGGCCTAGTTGATCAAGATCCCATTGTACTCTTAGATAACTTACTTCATTGTCCATTAAACCACCAATTTTGGTGTCATCCACAAACTTACTAACCATTGCCTCCTATCTGCTCATGCAAATCATTTATATAAATGACGAACAACAGTGGACCCAACACCGGTCCTTACAGCACACTGCTGGTCACAGGCCTCCAGTTTGAACAACAACCCTCTACCACCACCCTCTGTCTTCTACCATCAAGCCAATTTTGAATCCAATTGGCTAGCTGTCCCTGGATCCCATGTGATCTAACCTTTCTAACTCGTTTACCATGTGGAACCTTATTGAAGGCCTTGCTAAAATCCATGGAGACAACTTTTATGCTCTGCCTTCATCTATCTTCTTGGCCACCTGTTCAAAAAGCTCAATCATATTTGTGAGACACAATCTCAACGTTTAGAGCACTGAACAGTTACACGAGGTGCACATATTGCTATATGACATCAGTCTACACGAAGGTCACACTTGCAGGATGTGTCAGTGTCTCATGCAGCGAACACACTGTGTATTTCAACAAAATGGCCATGTCTGAAAGTCAAAAGGGAGCAGTTCTTAGTGGCTGAAGGGGAACTATAATCTGTCAGTGGGTAACACCACAGTCAAGAGTCTCACCTAATTCCCGTCCAGCAGTTTAGCTATGGCCAGTCAGGCACCTAATCCTTCCAGAGTCAGGGATTGGGTACCAGTCTGGGAACTACGGGTATGTCAGTCGGGGTGCTGTAGCAACATAGTCTTTGTGCTGGGCCGTTCTCAGTAAGGGCTATCTTGCCAAGTCAGTATGTGGGGTACGCCATGGTCAATCCTGGTATTTGGGTATTAATAATTAGGGGTTTATCGGGGAAAGTCTCTGAAGTCCTGGGGCTAGCTCAAGTATTGAGATAGGCTTCAATGATTATTTAGAGTCATAGAGTCATACAGTGCGGAAACAGACCCTTCAGTCCAACCAGTCCATGCCGAACATAATCCCAAACTAAACTAGTCCCATCTGAGACAACAAGGTGCAGGGCTGGATGAACACAGCAGGCCAAGCAGCA